GGCTTGGAGGCGGGAACCCAGGGGGCCAGACCTTGAGCTGTGTTAGGGGCCCCAGAATTTCTGATGGTGGCCCTGGAGCTGGGGGGGAGAGAGACACAAAAAGGGGCTGCGGGAGAGGCACAAAAAGGGGCTGCGGAAGACACACACAAATGAGCTAGGGAAGAGACAAAAAGGGACTGGGGAAGAGACAGAGGAGCTGGGGAAGGGGAAAATGAGACACACAAAGGGACTAGGGGGGATGAAGAGATACACAATGTTTGCAATGTTTGTTTGGAGGGATGGGGGCAAGTAGCTGGTTTTGCCTTGGGTACAGAATATGCTAGCACCGGCCCTGCATTCAAAGTAAGATTGCTTATATTTTGCAAGCTAGTAAATATTGTTCCCAGAGAGCTTTTTTAATAAATAACTTCCCATAAGGAAACAGAACATTTAACCTTAAGGTTCTTTAAACAAATTCCACTCTTTATGTTCATAATATTAAACTTCCTGATGAAGGTATAGTATTTTCTGTAAGCGTTTGCTTTAAATTCCATACTATCTCAAGAGAGCTACTAAACTTCGTCATTTACCTACTAGCAATAGTTTCTGGAATTTTGAAATAGTTTTAATTGAACAGTATTATATCACTTATAAATGTGTTCAGTTGCCCATAAATTGTATTATTATTGAAAGGAGGCTGTTGCAATAAATACATTTCAAACAAATACATATTTAAATATAGGTAAATTTCACTTTTAACAAATGTCAATAATAAGTTTTTCTTAAAGTAGGATTGTGATTAAGGAGTAATTCACAGATTTTACTATTATCATGACGTAAAGTCATGATTTTATTAATGACACAGAGGCGAGTATTATGCTGCACTGTTTCTTTATTTCCCTCAGCAGCAAAGAAAAATAACATTAAATCAGTATGAAAAGAAACCAGTAAATAACATGAGAGGTATATCTTCCTAGCAACAGGAACAGCCAAACAGCATCCTCTTCATAGCACAATAGGCGGTGTCCAGTATACTACTTCCTCTTTCTTGCAATCCCGAACAAGGACAACAAATCCAAATGAAAGGTGGAGGCGCTCCACTAAGAAGGTATGTGAGCCTTAACCTGGACTTCGAAGTCAAGCTGGAAGAGAGAGGAAAATATGGTAATATCCAAGTATAAAATTGGATTTAGACATAAAAATTCATTACATGGAATATCAGATATATATACATAACATGGAATTCAGTTTAGTCAAACCTTAAGTTCTTAACAGTCATTAACCTCTTAAGGACACATGACGGAAATATTCCATCATGATTCCCTTTTATTTCGGAAATTGTGTCCTTAAGGGGTTAACAAGGATAAAATCCAGTAATCAAAAAAGACTTACCGTGAAGTCAACTTACCTAGAGAAGACCAAAACTCCAGGGAAGGGAGGGAGAGATAATACTCGCCTCCGTGTCATTAATAAAATCATGACTTTACATCATGTTAATAGTAAAATCTGTGAATTTTATTAAGACACGGAGGCTCCTATTATGCTAGTTTAAAGCTTTGAAATTATATTTCCTGTGAAGTGTCTGAATAGGTCTAAAGTAGAAATTATTGAATGTAGACTCTGAAGACCAGCTGCTCTTATAATATCCTCTAAGCGACAACCAATACGAGGAAGCCTTAGAAGCAATTGCCCCACGAACCAAATGAAGAGCAAACACATAGGTATCAATACCTGCTAGCGACATAGCGTATTTGACCCACCGGCTAGGGTGGAGGTAGACACAGGAAGATGCGACTTTTGGAAGGAGATGAAGAGTTCCTGTTTCAAAGGATTCCATAACGTAGCGGGATGAAGTTTATATTCCAATAAGCATGCAACAGGGCAAAGGAGAGATCTATCAGAGAAAGTTGGCTAAAAAAGGGTTTTAGAGGAGGTTTTTTTCCTCCGAGAAATGTCAAAGAGGACACTTTCTGGAGTAAAGGAACAGCAACCACATCAAGAGTTCGTACGTCAGAAACCCTCTTGCAAGAAAAAAATTCAAGACAATAGAGAAGTCCCACAAGACAGAGTATCGTGGTAAGGGTGAATGAGCAAAACAAATTCCTCAGAGAAGTCGACATATGACAGGATGGCAACCGACAGGCGTCTCATTAAAACTTTGATGACCAGCAGAAACGGATGATCGGTAAGGTTGGTAAGGTTCACAGGTCGATAGGCTTTACCTTCATCATAAAGAGAAGTCAGAAAATGGAGGACAGACATAAAAGGAGCTGATATGGTATCTAAATTTCGATAAGTCGGAGAGTTGATTGCGAAACTCCCTCGACCGACCAAGGTGCCCTGAAATCAACCACACCATGAGATGCAAGAGACTTTAGAGAACAATGGGATGAGGCAGACAATCAGGATCCTGAGAGGTGGAAGTAGACGTGGAAGGTCAATAACCATCTCCTGAAGAGGAGAGAGCCATGTTTGGAACGGCGATAGAGGAGCTATGATCACCAAGGTGCAGGATTGGCGACGTAGATGGAAATCAGTGCAAAGGGCGGAAAAGCGTAATTCATTGAAGAATACAAATCTTGGGAGAAAGCATTCGTAGCCAGTGCTGTCAGATCTGGTCTCCAACTGAAAAAACAGGTAGTTGAGCATTCAAACGAGAAGCGAAAAGGTCTATTTCCAATAGACCCCATAGGTTCCAGATGTCTTGGAAGAACGCAAATGCCAGTCTCTGAGGTGGTGTGAATACCAGTCTGCCATAGTGTTGGAGAGACCTTAACTGTATTCTGCCATGACTGAAATGCTGTGCATCAGGCAAAATTGCCAGAAGTCGTGAGCCAGATAGGTCAACATTTTGTATTTTGTGCCTCCAGGTGATTGATGTAGCGGACAGCTGACACATGGTCCATGTTCAGAAGGATAGCGCATTGGGCTTGAGTTGGGGAGAAACTGCGGACTGCAAAAGAATCTGAGAGAAGTTCCAAACAATTTATGTGGAGTGTCAATTCCAGATCTGATCAACTGCCCATGGTGAAACTATTTCGGCATTGAGCGCCTCAACCGTGCAAACTTGTGTTGGGTTCGATGAACAAATCTGGAGCTGTACAGAATATGGCACGTTCATTCCAAGCTTCCAAATGAAGAAGCCACCACTGAAGTTCATCCTTCGCTTCTGAGTCCAGAGTTACCATATCCATGTATGATGCGCTGCCCTTAAGATGAGGCTTGTAATCATTGTAAGGCTCGATAGCCAAGAGGACCTGGAAAAATGGCTTGTATAGATGCCGCTAGAGGGACTATAATTTTCGACAGTTGTTTGAGAGAGAGTTGAGAGGTTGCTAGTGTTTGCGTATCTTATTCTTGATATTGGCTAATTTTGCCACCGGAAGATGTAGAGTTTGAAGGGCAGAATGTACAATAACCCAATATAACCCAGAGATTTGATTTGTTGCGTGGGAACGATAATGGCTTCCTTCCAATTGATCAGGAAGCCTAGGTTCTCTAACAGAGTCAAAGTCCATGCAAGGTGGGTCCAGATTAATTGAATAAACTGAGCGAGAATGAAAATGCCATCTAAATATATTATAAGACGTACTCCCCAACTCCGTAGCAAGGTGACCATAGGTTTCATGAGCTTGGTAAAGCACCATGGAGCCGAAGATAGTCCAAATGGGAGGCACTGAACCTCCATTTGTCACGATTTCGGAACCTAACACGCTAACAGGACACAGAGAGGAAAGATGCTATACCGGTCCTTAGAGTGGCCGGGCTAAGCACGCTAAGAATGGTCAGGAGACAAGCCAAGTAAAGGGAGCCAGAAAATGGGAGAATGAGAAACAAATCGAGGTCAAAGGAGTGGAGAAGACAGCATAATCGGAATAACAAGCCAAATAATCAGTAACCAGAGAGCAACACGATCAAACTACAATACAGGTATCACAAGACCACAACAGGGCACTGAGAGACAGGAAAGGTAAGTATAAATACCCTTATCTTAATTCTGATTGGATAACTTCCAATTAGAATTAACAATCACACGTGGAAGATATCTACGCCTCCCACTGTGATTGTGGTACTGTTGCATAATTTACCGACCTCCCAGTGTGCAGCGTTATACATGCTGCCGCTGGGAGGCGTGGAGGACGCGAGCGGCAAGCGGCTGAGAGGAGACGCCGCTCGCCGACAGGTTAGAGGGGAGGAGACCGCGGACGGCGACGGACAGAGGGTGAGTGCTGCAAGTGGCGTGCAGCCTCCCCTCACAGCCGCCCGCAGACCCCCTGACACCATTTCCTGCACTGCCATATGAATTGCGGGAAATTCTTGATCTTGATGGAATCTTGATGTTGGACTGTGATAGGCACTGTGAGCGATGCATCCTGCTGATCCAATTTAGCTATCCAATCTGCTGGTTGGAGAAGATCCCTTAAGCAATGCACTCCTTCCATCTATGCCTCATAACCATTGCGCTGTCTTAAATCTATCAATGGACGGACATCAAGAAAAGGTTTCTCACGTAACCCAGGGTTTGGACCGGAATCTCTACGATGGCTTGTTTGCGCATCAGTTCTTTTATTTCCTCGGAGACAAGGTCTGTGTCTCATTGAGAAAAAACTATTTCAGGTAGAGAAAGGAAGTCTATGCCATACCCTTTCACAGTGTGAAGAACCTAAGCATCTGATGAAATGAGGGACCATACATGGGAAAAATGTGTGAGCCTGTCCCCCACTATCAGTATGGAAGAATGGAGATTGTAAAGACTTACCATAAGGTCTTCATCCTGAAGGAGCACCTCTTGGGCCACTAACAACCCGCTGTCAACCACGTTGTGGGAACAAGGTTGGTACAGTGCATTGTTCAAAGAAATTGGCTTGGCCAGTGTAAGAGACTTGGTTCTGTTAAAAAAAAAAAAATTCTGTTTATTCAGCCGGACAGACAGCTCCTGGCTTTTCTGGCCCCAGCAAAAACTCTATGGTTAAATAGCCTGTACATCTTGGATTACACTTTATCTAGAGCAGTCAATGTGTGGACAAAGTAGCACAATTCTTTTATAAAGTTGTCCTCAAAGAGAAAACCTTTTGCCTGTGTGTCCAACTCGTTCAGAGCAATAGTTACACGTTTGGGCACAATTTTGAGCAAGATCGATTTGCTCTGTGGCAACCACAGTGTTGGTGTTGTCAACTTAACAGATCACTCTCTCAATGAAACCACTTAAGGTGGCGCTATCTAATTCTAGATCTTCGTCTACTGCTTCAGAGATCTTGACTGCTGGGCCCAAGATGTCTAGGATTTTATCCTGACAGTTTTGCAATAAAAAATCTAAACCTTTAGTAGGCTTCCATCCTGTCTTACTCAGGAATTGAATGATTTTAGGATTGACTAACAGTGTTTTACATAGGTCATCAGGGACTGTTTGTCTTCTCAAAAGGCTTGCATACTCTGGATGCCATATACTTGGCTACGTGGTCTGAGGAGACCACTGGGTGACATGGGTCATCAGGTTTGAATAGGGGATAACCTTGAGGGTCCAAGATCCTGTCGGTGTCCCTTTAGGCCGCATGATCTACCTCAGTCTTGGTAGGTTTAACAAGACGTGTATCAGTAATTTCATAATCAGTATCAGAAAGATCCTCTGAATCCTCCCTGTAGGACTCAGGGAACTCCTCCTCTATCACTGAGCTCAGACTCAGAGTTCAGTTGGGCTTTTGCCCTTTTCCAAAGTCTAGTCGATTTTGCCCAGATAGTGGCTCTTTTGCAAGGTGGAAAATTAATCGCGCTATACGTGACAGTTATAGTACTGTCCATCTCTATTGTTTTGGAGGAGTGTTTAGCCTTATATGAGGTCTTGTGGCCAGGTTGAAGCAGAGCAGGTATGAGACTGTGAGTACAGGTACTGCTGTCTGAATAGTTGGCTGAGCTGATCTCTGTGCCTGTAACAGGGCCTGGGCAAATATCTGTGAAAGTAAATCAGACATAACCCATATCACTGACACCAGGGCCTTCGTTATTGTTTTTGACATGGAAGTGTCAATTAATGCCTGCATATCAGCAGGAGCAGTAAAATCAGCAGAAAAAAAAGCAATCTCATCTCTAGAGATACCTGAAGAGGCTTCTAAATTAACCTGCATGTTTGTTGTAGACCCAGAAGGCACAGAAAGATCCTGTCAGACTGCATTATAAATATACAGGCAAGCCTAAGGGAATGAATAAAGTAAAATAATACGTAAAGGAAAGGGTTGAGTAACCCTCAAGTAAAAAATAAATAAATAAATAGAGTAAGGGAATGAAAGTACTCACAATAGTGAAAAAAATAGCAATTGTAATAGGAAAACGCAGGAGCTGTCCGACCGCCACTATAACTAAACCCCAACTTAGATTTCTGTCAGTTGGGGTCAGAGCAGCGGCCAGACAGATGAATGAAGGGAAAAAACAGTGTAATAGTGCTTTGAAAGGAATAAAGATCCTCAAAGATGTCCCTGAGCCCCAATTGATGATAATCTTGGGGCCAAAGAGGTCAGAGGGGAAAGAAATTATCAAAGGATACACAATAAAGCATATAACTGAAGCAAATTAAGTAAATAAATCAAATGAAGTTAAAATGAAGTAACTAAATATATGTATAAATATGAAAATATTATAATTAAAATGTAATAACTATAATAATAACTATATTAACCATAGTAATAATATGAATAAAAGTAAAAGATCCCACACAAAAAAGTCGGACCCAGTGTCACTTAACTGAGAAAGCAGCAAAGAAAGAGGAAGTAGTATACTGGACACCACCTATTATGCTATGAAGAGGATGCTGATTGGCTGTTCCTGTTGCTAGGAAGATATACCTATCATGTTATTTACTGGTTTCTTTTTATACTGATTTAATGTTATTTTTCTTTGCTGCTGAGGGAAATAAAGAACGAGTGCAGCATAATAGGAGTCCCCGTGGCTTAATAAAATCCAGGCTGGATTTGACCACTTATTTGAATACATTATACTGATGATGCATTTAAATATATGCAATAAATAAAAAATAATAAAATAATGCTAATGTACTAAGTTAATGCATTAACTGCAAATCGCATTAACTGTGGTGTTTGCAGCTGGAGCAGTGACCTCTGCCCAGACTAGATAGTAACTCAGAAATTAGGAATCTCTCTTTCTAAATAAAAAAATAAGATTAAAATAATGATTAACTGTAATCATTAAAATTAATGTGATTACACCTATATGCTATACCCTCAGTGCACCTGTAGGGGGCTGTCCATCTAGGTGACAGCCAGAAGGTGGGTGAAACACAAATTTTTTTCCTCACACTTTCATTCATTTTATTTTGGCCAAGCTGCCTGATTCAGAGCTTTACTGACAGACCAGCCAGAGGAGTATGAATATCCTCTACAGTTGTCTGTTTAGTCCTGTCTACAATCCTGGTAGGCTTATAGTAAGATATGCATCAAGCGAAACTAGGTGACCAGAGAGAGACACAGTGGGATGCAGTGGCTAAAGGGAGACTCACAAGAAGATGATTGGGGCTAAAGAAGTACACAAGGTGATAAATGGGCTGGAGAGACACTCAAGTGATTGAGAGAGGCTAAATAACTTAGGCATGCCTTTACATTTCACCTTGGGTATGTGGTGCCTGGAGTACTGCATGGTACTCTCTAGATGGGATCTTTTTCTGTGTTCTGTGTTGCCAGGCAATTCGGTATACAGCTCACCCTCGCAGTTTTGCCTTAAATTCTGAGAGACTAAATGTTAATTATCAATGTGATCAATATAACATTTTAGTTTATATCCTGCAACAATTGAATAAGTCTGATACTACATTTTGATACTGGATGATTTTAGTCTGATTGATGTTAATATTTGTTCCCAGATGCAAAAAATACATGCAGTTAACTTCATCTTCATTCATAAACCCTTTTCGAAACCGTATTGTAGTAAAGCTGGTTATTGTTATGCACAAGTCATTTCTTCTTTGTTTGTAATTTTAAAGAATTTCAGTTCATAGGGAGCAGGAAGTTTCCATAAGTGACAAAACACATGGTTTGATTTTTTCCCCTGCTTACATATTAAAGAACCAAGCACAACACCCTTTGTTCCCCCAAAAATACATTGCTGTTCTAATTAAATGATGAACCTCTCCAAAATGTATATATAAATATGGAATGTGAAGGTGCTCCCACTTACTTGGGACATCCATCCTGGGTCCCACTGTAATGCAAGGTTACATATAGATCATATATACTTGTGAAAAATTGTTTTAGATGATTTATATATCACATTACAAAAAATAATAAATAATTATGATAAAAAAATAATGCTCTCTACAAATGTATGCCATGTATGTAAGTCAAAAATTGTGCGTGATCTACCTTTCTCAAGTAGCTATATGTTGACATAAGAACTTTAATTCCTAGACCAGAACCAATACCATGCTGCTGAGACCCAAAATGTTGCTACTGTACAGTACATGTGCCTGTTTCTGCTCATTTGCTGTAAATTGAAAATTCTAGGGGAATACTAAAAAAAAATATTTCTTAAAATTCTCAGGATAATATGTATATTATATATTTATGTCCTGAGGAAATGTAATTGTAGTGAACTGAAACGTTGACTGTTTGGATTAAAAACCTTTATATTTTTTATATAAGTCCTTGAGTGCTGGCTTTCTTTTGGAAGTTGTATTTTCAAGTAGCTGAGCACCAGGCAATTACAAGGAGAAAAGCTGGAGTGCAAAACCCCTACAAATTGTAGCCTATATATATATTCAAGACAACAGGCCAATGCTGTTGTAGGTAGGTATAGGAAAGAGTTAGTTGTGGTGTGCCATAAACCGACATGTGTTTAAGCCTGTGAAAGAGAGCACACCTAGAGATGCATTAGTATTTAAGGCATGATTGATTTAATGGAGAGGTTTTAGTGAGCAATATCCCATCCAAAATCAACCTGTGTCCACAGTAAAATGAGTTTAAATAGGTAGGCAAACCCCTCTTACAATTCTAGGCTAAACTGCCCTCGAATTTGTGATCAGGGACAACAGGCTGATAGTATTGTAAACATATATAAGAAAGAGTCAGGTGTGGTGTGCCTGAAATCAAAATGCAGATGAGTTGTGAAAGGAGGCAAAAACATTAATAATAATTACCAAAACACTATTAAATCCTAAATACATATTAATATTACAGATATTCATGTGAGTTTGTGCTTGGAGGAAACCAAACAATAGGAATTAAACTCATTTGTTATGTACCGGATCTACACAGACCCTTGGATGACTAAAAAAAGTAATTTGAAGAGTGAAACTATTTACCCCAATATTACCTGGTGGCCTTGAATCTGTCATTAATAGTATGAGATATTGAGTTGTATTTATTGGGCATACTGTACTTGAATAGCAAAACTAAATGTAGAGGAACAATGGGCATGACTATGTAATTGTTAACCCAAACTTGTGTACTTTCGATTATGAGAGATTTATGAGAAGTAATGCATGGTCTGGGGGATGGAATTATGACACAACTAGGGAAAGAACTCCTATAAAAGCTAAACAAGCTTGTGGTAACTGGAGTACTTCTCCTGACTGAATAGACAACCATACTTAGACCATATACTGTATTTCCAGGACATACTTATGATTCCTCCTGGATTGAGGATCATCCTGGTGTCTTGGAGGTCTGGCTCAGCCTGTAACCTTAAAGAAAGGTTTATACTAGTACTGGGTAACTTACCTTTACAAAGTATCATAAGTACCGATTTCTGACACCAGTTGAATAAATAGGTGAACCTCGGTAAGCAACTACTATTTTTATGATGCTTGAACTTAGTAGAAGTTTGGGATAAAAGTAGATATAAAAATACCATCAGGTAAGGCCTGTAAAAATGGAAAATTATTAAGCAGTTGTGTGCTGGCCTAGTTGAGTAAGCTTAAGACCTAATGCTGTAGAGATATATCCTGAATGCAACTTTGGTTCTTTGACTCCAGACCTCCTAGTGGTTTTTTGAGTTCATTACCTCTGCAATAGAGGAAGCTCAGGAAAAAAACAAAACAAAAAAAAATATTATAAGCCTGTGACCTCTGTGATAGACTAAACTCCGTAATGGAAGTCATTTTATGAGCAATTTATAAGTGTGTGGCCTCTGTAATAGAGGAAGCTCAGTATAAAAGCTAATTTATGAGCAACTGATCCCTGAGATATACAAAGTGCAGTAACAGGATCCACATATGAGAGTGTTACACAGAGACCTCTGCTATAGAGGAAGCTCAGGAAAAAGAAAAACAGTTATGCCAAGGTAAATACTCCCAATGAATACAAGCATTACTGGCAAAGTACCAAATGAACAAATGCATAAAACATCTGAGGAATAACAAATCTGTCTTCCTAAGTTTTTTTTAAGGAGAATAAATGAACTAGTAAGCATGTGTGATTAGAGATTCCATGAAATATATCTAGTATGGTCAGAGCAAACCATAGAAATGACACGAGAAGTAATTGAACAGTACGTCTGTACTTCTGACAAATATATGATGAAACCATATGTAGTAAAGTTCGAGTTGGCTGACTTGGTTAAAATTTGTATAGTTGAAATGCATAGGGTGACTAGCTTCATATAGTGGCACAATGTGTAGGGATACCGTTATTCGAATAGTGACAGTACCTGGAATGAGTGATAGTTACATTGTGATACAATCATCAGAGTGACTGATATAATGCATATAAAGTGACACACACAGGTTGACTAACGTACAGTGACGCAACTGACAGCATGACTGATATTTACATTGTGATACAATAAACAGGACCAATATACTGTACGTAAAGTGATAAACACACAAGGTTACTAACATACATACAGTGACACAACGGAAATATAGGAACAACACACGGGGTATCAGATTAATATCCATTGATTTAGGGGTGACTTATATTCATGCAGTGAATCAACGCACAAAGTGACTGGTATACATACATTGACACCATACACTGAGTAGCAGATATTTTGGATAGGGTGACTGTTGTTCATTGTGTGAATAACACAATGTGAAGGGTGTTTAATACTCGCATAGTGAAAGAATCCATGGGATGATATAAGGCAATTACATGTAAATGAGAATTATATTCATCAAGCAAAATAATGCAGCAATACCAAAAATCGCTCCTGCTGAAGGAGAAACCCCAGTGAACATGACTTCCACCGACCGCTGGGTGAGCCCCCAAACCCAAGCACAAAAATACCCAATCTAAACAGAGGTCGCTGCAGAAGAACTCCCACCATAAATCCGTCACCAGATCATGTGCAACAAGCCTGCCTGCATCTCCTTCTCCCTCCTCCAGCACTGTTCCCACCCCCTGCACTGGAGAAGAGCCACCTGCCAAGGCTCTAGTGCATGGCAACCCTTGGGTGGAGCAACTTTGACCGCTCTTACATCAACAGTGCCCCACACACCATCCACAGAATCTGAG